GTGTGAGATATAACGGGGGGTTACGTATTGTAACCCTAGTTATATAAGCACAGGCGGAGCCCTCTACCTGGGGGCCCTGTCTTTCCTAGTCCGCTCGCTGAAGAGTGTATAGGATAGTGGGGCGGCGGGTGTAGCCGCCTTATATACTGTGGGCCTGCGCGCGCATTCAGGTAGGCTCGCCCCGATTGGCCGGCTACGTTTACGTAAATTCAGTAGGTGAAAGCACGCACAGCATGATAGAGAGTAGTACCCATAGAGTCCAGTAGAGGGCTCCGCCTGTGCTTATATAACTAGGGTTACAATACGTAACCCCCCGTTTTATGTTTTTATGTTTCATGTGGAACCTACTTGAGCAGGTCTCCCTTGAAAAAGAGATCAATGATCTCAATGGGATACACCTGGATAAATAAAGGTTTGAAATGAAATGAAGTACAAGTACAGGAAGACCACCGTGACTATCTCAGATTTTTGTGGTGGCCTCAAGGAGACATCAGCAAACCACTGGAGGTCTATCGGATGAATGTGCATCTCTTTGGTGCAGTATCATCCCCAAGCATAGCCAGCTTTGCCTTGCAACAAGTGTCAAGAGACAATACCAGTAAATACAGCATGGAAGTACTGGAAACCATTCAGCGCAGCTTTTATGTGCATGATTGTCTCAAATCTGTGGCTTCTACAACTCAAGCTATCGATCTTACCAAGGATCTAATGAAGGCATGTGCCGAAGGAGGATTTACTCTTACCAAATGGGTGAGTAACAGCCAAGACGTGCTTAGAACCATCCCTGAAGTGCACAGAGCTAAACCAGTTGAGCAACTAGATCTGGACAAAGAAAAAACACCTCTAGAAAGAGTTCTAGGCATCCAGTGGAATATCGTGAGAGATACTTTTACCTTCACTGCTGCCATCAAACACAGAGTTCCTACAAGAAGAACAGTTCTTTCTATTGTCAGTTCTATTTACGATCCCCTCGGTTTCCTTTCACCATTTATCCTCAAGGCCAAGCAAATCCTTAGAGGACTCTGCATTGATAAGTGTGGATGGGATGAAGTTATCCCAGAACACCTTTCAAAGTCATGACAAAGATGGATAGCAGAACTAGACCAGCTGAGCAGATTTGAAGTGGACAGGTGCATGAAGCCTGAACATTTTGGACTCTTAAGGACTGCTGAGCTGCATCACTTCTGTGACGCAAGTGAAACAGGGCATGGCACTGCAAGCTACATTAGATTCACGAACCACAAAGGAGATACTCATGTGTCATTCATTCTCGGGAAATCCAGAGTCAATCCTCTGAAGCAAATCACCATTCCCAGACTGGAGCTCGCAGCTGCTACACTTGCTGTTAAAGTGGATAGGATGTTACAGAAGGAACTAAACATGAAACTACAGAAATCAACCTTCTGGACAGATAGTACATCAGTACTAAAATACATCCACAACCAAACAAAAAGATTCCATACCTACGTTGCTAATAGGATAGCAGTGATTCACAACTTGTCCCAAGAAAGCCAATGGAGGCATGTAAGTTCCAAGGACAATCCAGCAGACTTTGCATCACGTGGATTGAATATTGAACCATTCTTGGAGTCCACAAGATGGTTGAATGGCCCTGACTTCCTGTCAAAGGAGGAAAGTGAATGGCCCGAAGTGCCAGAGGATCTTGGCCACATCCTCCTCAATGATACAGAGATTAAAAAGGACATCTGTTAACAGCTTGAAAATAAATAACTGTGCAACCACCGACCTCATTGAACACTACTCCTCTTGGAAAAAACTACAGAGAGCAGTTGGTTGGTTGTTGAAACTCAAAAGACTGCTTCAATCTAAAAGAGCTAAAGCACCAGTGACCCGCTCCAAAACTGCAGAAAGACAACAAGGACTATCTGTGGAGGATTTGGAGGAAGCAGAGAAATCCATCATTCACTATGAACAAGAGCGCTACTTTGAATCTGAGCTGATGCTGCTAAGGAAAGGAAAAGCTGTTAAAGCTGACAGCCCCTTACGCAAAGTTGATCCTATTCTGGATGAAGGTATCCTACGGATTGGAGGACGCATAAGTAAATCTGCTATGCCAGTAAATTTGAGAAACCCGATAATCCTTCCAAAAAAACTCCCACATATCCAAACTGATTCTACGCGATATTCATCAGCAGGTCGGACACTCTGGGAGGAACCACATGCTCTCCAGACTAGGCCAGAAATTCTGGTTACCCTATGCCAACTATTCTGCAAGGAAAATAATAAAGGCTTGTGTTTTTTGTAGACTCATGCAGGCTAGAGTTGGAGAACTAAAAATGGCTGACCTACCTGAAGATCGTGTGGCTCCAGACCTTACACCTTTCTCTCATGTGGGAATTGACTATTTCGGACCCATCGTGGTTAAAAGAGGTCGAGGCCATGTGAAGTGGTGGGGGGTAATATTTACCTGCCTTGGGAGTCGAGCTATTCATCTGGAGGTGGCGAGTACCTTGGATACTAACTCCTGCATCAACGCCATAAGGCGGTTTTCATGTCGAAGAGGACCAATTCTAACAATCAGAACAGTTCGTGGGACCAACTTTGTAGGCGCTCAGAAAGAACTGGAGACTGCTCTAAACCAGCTTGATCAGAAAAGGATCCAGGGTTCCCTGCTCTCTGAGCAAGTCAGGTGGCTGTTCAATCCCCCATCAGGAGCACACTTTGGAGGAGTGTGGGAAAGACTGATTAGGCTGGTGAAAAAAGTACTCTTTTCAGTTCTTAAACATCAGGTCATGGATGATGAAATGCTACAAACAGCCTTTTGTGAAGTTGAATATATTCTCAATGACAGACCAATCACAACTGTGTCAGCTGATCCTAATGATTTAGAACCCCTCACGCCAAACCACCTGCTGCAGCTGAAAACCAAACCACTCTTACCACCTGGACTCTTCTGCAAAGATGACCTCTACACCAGAAAGAGATGGAGACAAGTTCAATACATTGCAGACCTCTTCTGGCAGAGGTGGGCTAAAGAATATCTGCCACTCATGCAGCAAAGGCAAAAGTGGGTCAACACTAGAAGGAATCTTCAACCCAACGATATTGTGGTCATCGTCGATGAAACAGCACCAAGGAACTCATGGCCCCTTGGCCGTGTGGTTATAACCCTGCCTGGACCCAAAGGTCTGGTCAGAAGTGTGTTAGTTCAGACCAAGACTAACATCCTGCAAAGGCCCATTAGTAAGCTCTGTCTACTCCTGGAAGCCAACTGAGCCAAGAGCTAGCCAATGCCCTACCCCTTATCCCCTGCACACACACACATACTATCTTTCTTACATCTTTCCATACACAAACCTCTCTATTTCAAACTACACTGATACCCTTTTGACTATTGTCTCCTGCCTCAGGGACAGTGAGTGGTGATACCACAAAAGACACTGATGCAGCATGAACTTTGGGGGGGGATTTAAGTGGGGGCTAATTGAAGTGACTTGTTGAATGTATATATGCATATTAGTAGATTTTGTATGATAAACAGAAATGTGATTTGATATTTTGCGCAGTTTAAAATATTTAAAGGCGTTACCTGGCTCCATAGAATGTTTTGTTGTAATTGATTTGCTATAGCATCACAATTAGGGGCCGGTGTGATGAAGCCATATATAGGAGCTTATATTATTTAATAGTTATTCATTTATTTTATTGTTCTTTTTTGTTTATAGTAAATCTTCCTTTTAATCCTTACTTAAAGTGGACCTATCATGCTATATTTGAATAATATAGTGTAGGACCATACCTATATAAGGCATATTTATACTTTTTTCTTTTCAAAATACCAAACAGATCATGCATTTTAGCCATGCCTCATTTCGCTCAATTTGCACTTTTTTTTAGCTCTGCTCTGCAAGGGCAGATTCAGTGAGAACAGCACCATCTACTGGCCTGGCATATGTACTACAGCGTCTACAGCGCTTTCGAACGGCAATGGCGTGGCTGTCTCCTCCTGATTGGTGGAGTTGGCCCAATAGCCGTAGCGCCACCGTCCTGACGTCAGGACAGTGTTCAAATCTGGATCAGTTTTTATCAGATCCGTTGCAGCCCCTTTTTTAGAGATTTGGGTATGGAGGAAAATAGAGAGGGTTGTGTTTTCTGACACTTGGTGAGTTCCCTGGAACACCGGGGACACATATTCATGTATAAAAGACGTACAAAAGTGCATTTTGCATGATAGGTCCCCTTTAAGTTTATCAAATAAGTTGTACTATGCCTCTGTTTTGTAAAGGCAGCCTTTGGGCACCGGGGGAGGGGATTTTAACTTATTTTAATTCTAGATCCTGAAGATAATCTCAAAGGGGAATGTGTCAAAACTAGGCCTGTAAATGTAAAGGAGTTAAAGACTTGCGAATAATATGGAAACGTAATTATGAATTAAGCCAATCGGGTAAGAACGAAGAAAAGTGCTTGTATATGTGTATAATAAATTGCACTAAAACGACTTTTGCTCGGACCTTGATTTTTACTCATGCGTAAGATTCGCTGACGGGTGCCTCAGCGGCACTTTGCTTTGAGTTATATTTCTTTCTTATATTTTTATGATTTTGGCCGCTTTACACATACTGCACAGCTGTATGAGAAACCAATGTGAGTTTGGAAAATTGCACATTTCTAGTAGACCTCAACAATGGAATTATGATCAGTAGAAATGGCCATGTCATGGGACCTTTAAATCCATGATAATATAATAACTGATGATTCAGTTATTTTTCAGAAAAATGAAATCCTCGTTGATACCTTTGATTAAAAGCACCCAACCCATGCTCGTTTTGCAAAAGATGTATGTTCTGTAAGAAGTCAAGTAGTGTCAGTTAGTCAGTACATGAGTAATAGTCCACAAAACTAAAACGAGCTGAAATTAGTTTTAATTTGAAGGCCTATATGGCACACATCCGGTATGATTTCTCTCAGTGACTTAACCCGTTTGTTGGATTTGTTGAAGCGCTGCTTCCGCGCAGATCACATGACAGTCTGCACGCGGAAGCGGTAGCAGCATGGAGCCCACAGCGAGCAGAGAGCCGGGTCCCGTCAGAGAGCCCCTAGCCTGCCTTACAGAGGCCTACACGTGTTTGCGGAGGGGATCATGTCCCAGCCAAAGGGCTCACGATGTGGCCTCTGCGATATTTGTCGGGGTGTGTGGAGGGGTCTCCAGCGGGGACAGAGAGAGTTGTCCTCCAGAGAACCACAGTGACCCCACCGTGGAGCTGAGCTGCATCAGTATGTCTCTGCTGGAGAAGATCAGCTCCGCGCTGATGTCTGGGAGCCTGCCACCAGCAGCCACCTTATATTACGCCGAGGTCTTGACGGGGTTACAAGACATGGATCTCATGTTACAGCTTGTAAGTGGGCTTCCTAAAACACACATACATTTTAAAGATCGTAGCCAATGAACATGGGCGGCGACAGGATTTTTTCACTGCAGTAGCTTAGTAGTTGCTATATGACAGCACGGCGTTGCTAGTAAATGTTCTGTGCACATGTGATAACTGATATAACTGCTAACTTGAACACACTACAATATTATCATATTCAACACAACAGAAATAGCGTTACTATCCCTAAGCGACAGCGTACATGTAACCCAAATGTCCCGTAGCCTCTCTTAACACCCTCGGACTCTGCGTTGTGTTTCGTATGTGTGATGGGGTGTTATGCAGAGGGGAAGAAAACAGGACACAGCAGATTGGGATTGTGGTGGTGACGTTGAGCGGTGATTTATTTGTTCCATGTAAACATTAGACATTAGCTACATGCTAACCAATAAAAAACACCAAATTAACAGACAAAACATAAACATCTCACTCCCAAACATACCCAAACTGGTAAATAAACATTTAAACTAACTCAGTTGTCACAGAAATTGAATGTTTGGACGTGTTTTACGTTATAATATGTAAAATGATTTGCCACAATTAAATACTGCTCACCCGGCATGGAGTGATTGTAAACATTAGAACCAAGATGGCAGCGCGCGCAGAACAGCGGGGGGAACTACGGTGTCCCACAATGGACAAAAAACAACAATTTTCTGCGCAACAGCAACACCTAGTGGCCTGTCAAGGCTGCTACCATACATACACAATGGCGATCGTTCACTATTTCAACTGGCATGCTGTGGCATTTAACCACACCGCAAACACAGACAGTTATTGTACTTTTTACTCCACTACATTTATTTAACACTCCTATTTACTTGTTCACTATAAAAACGGATTATATAATTACATGGTATGATTACTATTTTCTATTACTAATATTTCATATATTTTAACATTAACATTAATGAATCCTAAAATATATTGGTGATGAAAAACAAACATTATACATTCTTAAATAATGTAATACTTAAGTAATACTGTTATGCATGAAATACATTTTACTTCATTTAGCTATAATACTAATAATAATAATTCATTTCATTTCATTTCAAACCTTTATTTAACCAGATGGTCCCATTGAGATCATAGATCTCTTTTTCAAGGGAGATAATACTTCTGTACTTTCTACTTGAATTTATGTAAGGGATTGATTGCTGCCCACATGTTTTCCACAGTGATATCCTAAAAGACTTCTATTCTACAGATCCTTCATTTCCAGTCCAATGACCAGATCATCTCACACCTAGCTGCAAAGAGCGTGTCAACATGTGTCTTCTATCAGCTCCACACATCTGTAAGTTCTCAGGGCTGTAGTACACATTTGCGTTAATTTGCCCTTTATGCAATTTTGCCCCTTTCACACCAACGCAGTTCCCGTTCTAGCTCCGTGCTAGAGCTTTTCTTGTTCGGAACCGGTTTTTATTTTTCAGCCCCCGTTTTGTTCACACCGCCCAGAGCCCGACTGGTGCTGCCGCGGCTGCGTCATGACGTCACCGTTTACGTCGCTGATTTTCTCCCCAACGGCGTCGGGTCGATGATCGTGTTGCTTTTAATCATACGAAGCCAGATTAAATTAAATAACTACTTCTCAACCCTTATACTTTTCTCCAGAGTGCCGTGGTTCATTGTTTATTAATGTGTTTCAGCGGCATTTAGCGACCCCTGCAGTGCTGCCCGCTGTTTGGCATCACAACGCTGTTATGAAAGTTTCTCTGGTATAAAATGGGTGATGTTAGCATAGCAACCGAAGCTAAACGGACTATCTTGACTACTTGTTGCTATCCTATTGTGGCATAAGCCGTTTTCTACAGGCACATTTTACCGGTGTATTTTTCATTATGATTCTACTTGTGACATGACAACCTGTGCAGCCCATGTATTGATTCCATCCCATAGCTGCTATAATACAAAACAAAACGTCTGCCTGCCCTCCACAATGATTAATGACAGCGAACGGATGGTCAAAGTAAAGTACAAATAAACAGAATCAAACTAAGCTTGGTTAGTGTTGCCTGACTTTATAAAGTGTGTTTTTTTTAATAAGTGTGTGGTTGCGTTCTAGTCACTTTGGTCAGCGCTACTGCTTGTTACAACTTTCATTTGCCGTACTCGCCATAAACTGTTATTGCTCAGGTTGATCCCGCCCCTGCCCCCACCTCCGACGTAAGCGTGACGTATGCGGTTCTTGCTTCAAGACCGACAATTTTTTGGTGCTTGAAAAGCACCGGTTTTCGGAGCTTAGAGGCAGCTCCGCTGCGGTGTGAACAGGAAAAAACGGTGCTTTTCAGGCTCTAGCTCCGAACCGGCCCTGGAACCGCGTTGGTGTGAAAGGGGCATCTGTCCTTTGTGGTAAACTCCTAATTTACAGGTAAACCTTTCACACTAGCTTTTCAGCTAATTTAGGTCATGTTCAAGCACACTCAATTTTAACTTATTTTAATTCTAGATCCTGAAGATAATCTCAAAGGGGAATGTGTCAAAACTAGGCCTGTAAATGTAAAGGAGTTAAAGACTTGCGAATAATATGGAAACGTAATTATGAATTAAGCCAAATTAATCACAGTTTGACCCAAACATCTTTCATTAATTCCAGTGCAGATTGCTAACCATTAGTTTAATGGCATTGGAAATGAAAGGAAAGTGGAGGAACTTCCACAAGGAAGAAAAGAGAGGAAAGGCATCTTGCTGAAGCATGCGCCAATTTGTTGGAGATGAACAGGAGTGGGAGATAGTGGTCAGGGTCACCACTGTAGGAACAAAGAGTGCTGGCAATATGATTAATAAAATATCAGCATTTGTGCAGCACATTATTAAAAGGGTCATCACAGCGTCTCTGTGTCTTTTTCGATGCTTTAGTTAAGTGTCTGAAAATGTTCTGACTTTATGCCAATAATTCAGAAATCATCAAAACTAAGCTGCCGATAAACATTTGTTTTTATCTCCCCCCAAAAGGTTCTTAGATTTGTATTATGATTAATGTGATCAAATTGACACCACTAGTTAAAACTGAACATGTAGAATATCATTTCTAAATGGAGCATCCATTGGTTTGAGTATTTCTCTGGGGATGCTTAATTTAAGGTTCAAAGGCTTTATTGTCATATGTACAGCTACAGTGTAGATATGCAATGAAAAACTTAAGTCACAGGCTCCTCCGACAATGCAAAATAAATATATAAGACATAAAACAAATACAAAAACAATTAAAATATTGCAAGCTCAGGCGTTTAGCAGTCTTATGGCCTGTGGGATTAAATTGACCCCGAGTCTGGTGGTTTTTGTCCTGATGCTGCGGTACCGCCTGCCAGGCGGCAGTAGACATAACAGTTTGTTGCTGGGGTGATGGGGGTCTTTGATAATCCTGTGGGCTTTCTTCCTGAGCCGCTGGGAGTAGAGGTCCTCCATGGATGGCAGCTCCGTCCTGGTGATGTGCTGTGCAGTTTTCACCACCCTCTGTAGATCTCACGGTTGAGGGCGGTGCAACTGCCGTACCAGGCCGTGATTCAGCCAGTCAGGATGCTCTCTATTAGGGATGCTCCGATCGGGAATTTTGGGGCCGGAATCAGTATCGGCCGGAATCAGTATCGGCCGATACCGATCGCCGATCCGATCGGGTGGGTGGGGGCTATGGGGATCTTCCATTTAAAGTGATGTTTAAAACTCAGTTAATGGGGCTCATTTTTATATTGCTTCAGTTTATAATCGTAACGGATCGAACAGTTCAGATTCATTTTTCAATACATGATGGCTTCCACAAACAACAACCAACATAATTATTACATTCAAATGAAGTACATTATTCAAGTTTACATTAACTTTGGATAATAACACGGGAGAAATGAGCGGAAGCGCTCTCTTTTCCTCTCTCCCTCCCTCTCTCCCTCCCCTGACAGCCCATCAGTATCCCGTCTCCTGCACCTCACTGATCCAGTAATGAGTGACCCGAGAGTGAAGAATAAACATATTTATAACTAGTTTAGCTTGTTCCAGAGGTAGATAAAATAGCTAAGTGTGTGAGGTCTAACTCTTAGTGTGTGTTTTGCTCCGCTCACCGGTCCGTCACAGCGGGTGGAGCTGTAGGATTTCTGCTTCACACGCGTTGCATACCGCTATTTTATTGTCTTTTTCGGACACCTTAAAATACTGCCAGACCGGTGAAGCCATTTTGGCGAGCTTGTTTTGTTGCGCACAGAGAAAAGTGTCATGTATTTTACGTCATGTGATCGGCTCTCCTGATCGGCCTTTATAGAGAGCACCGATCGATCGGCCGAGAGTGAATATCGGCCGATCGATCGGAGCATCCCTACTCTCTATGGTGCACCTGTAAGAGGTCAGGATACTCTCTATGGTGCACCTGTAGAAGGTCAGGATCCTCTCTATGGTGCACCTGTAGAAGGTCAGGATGCTCTCTATGTTGCACCTGTAGAAGGTCAGGATCCTCTCTATGGTGCACCTGTAGAAGGTCATGATACTCTCTATGGTGCACCTGTACATTTAATGAAACTTTGTAAAAGCATATAGAATATGAAGCTCTCATACAATGGAAAAACTGTTTGGTTACGCTGGCAGTTAATAGGAGTTCACTGTCCCCGCAATCCCGAGCCTTTACGAATTTACTTTTTTTGGAAAATTATTAGAAAGAATTTGCTCTGTACATGTCAGAACATTTAAATCAGCTTATTTGGTGGTGATTGTCATAGACAAATAATTAAAGTAAACAACAAAGTGTCAGTAAACACATGCAAAGAGTTGGCTTACAAATGTAGTCATTGCATTGGAAGCAAAAATGTCACGAGAAGTTATAGGTATAATGCTGCGTTCACACCGGACGCGATGCGAATATTCGCTTCGCTCTAATCGCTCCTATCGCATCGCTCTAAATGCTGGAGGTTCACCGCGGCTGCCAGCTGTGTTTACTCGCATCATTCAAACAAGACGCGCTGGCTCAGGAGCTACAACTACAACAAATGAACATATTTTACCGTGATTAAATTGTAATACACGTTTCTAAATGATGCCGAAGTAACAACATACTGATACCGGTTAGTAACAACCATGAATTAATGCTTTGACAAGTCTGCAGACAAGACGGCAGGCAAAACACCTTTTAAAATGCTTGTTTCTGAATGAAGATCGGGTCGACCAGGCTAAGCTAACGTTGTATATGCTCATTCCACACTCATAACAACGGCCTACAGACATAAATAAAGCAGCGACTGTATTCACCATGACACAGACAGTCTGTGGTTTGTACTTGTTTAACTTTTGTCCAGTTTCTGAACAGATATGAGGAGCTGTGAGCTCTGTGTGCTAACTGCTAACAGCTAACGGCTGATGTTGTGTGGTTGAACGTCAGTGGCGGCGGCTGAGATCCTCACCGCTGATTGGCTTCCACGAGAACGCGTCACGTGAATTTGACGCTCGAGTTGAAAAAATTGAACTCTCGCGTTAACGCGGCACCGCTCAATCGCGTGATTTGCGCCGCGTCCACCGCTTCATGCGCGCCGTCGGAGCGAATTCGCGTCTGTCCGCGTCTCTGCATTGACTTTACATGTAATCGCGCCGCCCCCAAACATCGCATCGCGTCCGGTGTGAACGCAGCATAACTGTTAATAAAACCTCGAAATTAGCTGCACTAGTCAGCACTTTATTTGACCAATACTAGTTTCATAAAGTATCTAATATACTGTGCTTTATTCCCACATTATATGTTTATAATATATATTTTAATTTTTTAGAGCACAGTCTGTCCTGTCTGGCGGCAGAAGTGTGTTCAGGCTTTTTACAGCTCGACCCCCAGCCCTGCTCTGGACACCTGTCTGTGGTCAATAACTGATGTCTTCAAAAGACTTCTTCAAGGAGGTCATCAAGGTAAGCAAGTGAGCTAGAATATAGAATAGAAAGCATTTTTTGTCATTGTACACAATATACAACAAGCTTTGTCCATTCACACATTTATCTTAAGCCCCAGTGACAGCTGAACTAGGCTGATGTGTGAACGGCAGACTGCAGTGTTTCACACAAAATGTCATGAGGTTAAGGAAAGGTGTGAAGGAGAATACATCAGGACAGGGCTTATTAATGATGAGACGACTGATTGATGTTTACTGCCGTTGAAATCAACAATTTCCATACATGGACTTCTAAAAGGGCATCTCGTTACTTTGCCTCGAGTTTTCTTATCGTGTTGTTTCATTTGGGCTTTATAAAAGGAGACAGCAGTGAAACAGATGTTACTTTATTTGCAAGGTTTGAATTAAAGTGCACCTATCATGCTATTTTTAGGCAATAGCATAGGTCTCAGATATATACAAATATATAAAAAACATGCCTATGAAGTGTTTTGCTCAAAATACCAAACAGATCACCCATTCTAGCCATGCCTCATATTCCTCTATTTCACTTCCTGTTTCAAAAGTGCTGATTTGGTGTATAAAGCTTTAAAAAAAAAAAGAAAAATTGATTTAAAAAAAAAAAAGAAGGGCTGCTACTGTCTAAACTAAATACTGCCGTGATGAAATGCCATATCATGGATTATCAAGGATTATTTCTGAAACAGTATGGAGCTCAAAGGCTTTCTCTCTTGCCGGTTATACCACAAGGTGAGTTCCTTTTTATTTCCTGCTTCTTCACACACATGCTCTGTGCAGTACAGGTTAGCTCTGAGTGTTAGCGATGCTAATGTACATGCACCGACCATATTACGTCCAAACAGTCGGGCATTGTTTCGGATAGCAACTTTCTGATAGCGCCGTGGGTGTAAAGCCAGCCTACATTTCCGATATTACGTCATATCGGACGCAAATCTGGATCAGCTCCGTTGTAGCCCCGTTTTTAGAGATTTGGGTACGGAGGAAAAGAGAGGGTTTTATTTTCTGGCGCTGTGTGAGTTCCCTGACACACCGGGGACACATATTTATGTAGAAAAGACATCACATCAAAAAATGTATTTTGCATGATAGGTCCCCTTTAATAAAAAAATTTAAGTGAAAGGAAATGATTGCTTTTTGCATTGACTGACTTGTATCCCAATTGGTATGATTTTATAGAACTCTATGCAATATATTCATTACTTGTTAGGCCCATACATCTACTACTGTGCATATCACTATTCATATCATATAACCTATAATAAGCGTAACGTTCATAATTTGCCTTTTGGTTGATATATTATTGAAAGTTCAACACATAAAACTTTTAGAAATGTTATGGCATTTATTTGAAAAATGCTTAATAAGCACCATTACTTACATGATCTGCATTTGTCGGACACGATTGGTTAAAAGGATGGTCCAGTATTTCTTAAAGATCACCGATTATGCAAAATCCACTTTTTCATGTCTTTTCTACATCAACATGTGTAAAGAGATTCTGAATGTTTCAGGAAAAAAGATTTGCTCACTTTTTTCCCTGATCCATTTATATAAAAACCTGTCTGAAAATGAGCTGATCAGATTTTGGCCACTTTATGATGTCATAACGACTTTTTGGCTTGTGTAACCAATACAGGGATGCAAACTTGTCACCTTTCGGCGAAATTCTCCGTTTTGAATCCAAAATAGGTCGTTTGTGTGATTCATGTAGATCTGCAATAAAAATATTTTTGGGGTATGGGGGGGCTCTGGGACACAGAGTAAAAAAAAAAAAAAAAGATTAACGCCTCTAATTATTTTAACGCGATTAACGCATGTGTATTTTTTGTCCTCGGCCGCCCCGTAGTTTCAGAGCGCATCGAGTTTAAAATACCATCTACAAGCTGATGCTGACAGCCCCGCTCCTGCCGCCCGCTTGTGGCAGACCACACTTCCACGCTCCCCGGCAGGCCCGGACTGGCCATCGGGAGGACCGGGAGGGTGTGTGTATGTGTGGTGCGAGTGAGGCACACCTTACGTGTTGTTGTTGTTGTTAGCATCTGGTGCTAGCTAGCTGCGCTAACGGATATAAGGAGCTGTTTCAATGAAAACAGAGGAGCGGCATTTCGCCCACAACTGTGCCGAGCACTTGACTTTATGCAGGTAGCCAGACAGTGGGACATTGTACGAAAAGTCAGCACACTCAGCACGGATAGTGTGTGCAACATGATTGCAGCTTCCAGGCAGCTCCCGTTCGAGCATATATGCCTTGAGCTGCACATAGCTCCAACGATCCATCACAGTGTCTCCACATTCTCACACACACACACACACACACACACACACACACACACACACACACACACACACACACACACACACACACACACACAGCCACTTTGTATTGTATTATTGTATGAGAGAGGTTCCAGGTTGAATTGAGGAGAATATTTGTAATGTTCAGAGGTTGTTGTGTTTAATATTCATGAGAATATTTGTCAATGTTCAAATGATAATAAACAAACATATAAAGCATATTTGTCCACTCATATGTTGATAAGAGTATTAAAAACTTGAAAAATATCCCTCTAAGGTACATTTAGAACAGATAAAAAATGTGCGATTAATTTGCGATTAATCGCGATTAACTATGGACAATCATGCGATTAATCACGATTAAATATTTTAATCGACTGACAGCCCTAATAATAAGGCTCTGCTGCTCCGCGATGATCGTCTAGCTTCATTAGCTACATTACCTACGGGTGCGTTTGTTAATATTAACTGTGTGGTCCGGAGTCACTGTGGCACAGACTGGACCGCTGGTGAACAGCAGTTAGAATGGGCCATTCAGGTGTTCAGAGCAGAGCTCCCTGTCGGAGCGGCAGAGCGTGATGTGCACTGAAACGTTTTTCTGTCGCAATATTATCGTTGAGCTAGCTAACTAGCATACATTGTCACTATCTGCTAACTTTAGCTTTAGCCTTCGTTTTCTAATAGTTTTTTTCATAGGCTATAAACGGAGGTGGTATAAGTATAGATCTTGTACTAGAGTAAAAGTGGAAGTACTCAGATCTTGTACTAGAGTAAAAGTAGAAGTACTCAGGTCTTGTACTTGAGTAAAAGTAGTAGAATGTAGGAACAATCCTGCAATCAAAATGTTCCTCAAATAAAAGTACAAAAGTATTATCATCAAAATATAGTTAAAGTAGCAACAGTAAAAGTAGTCATTGTGCAGATTAGTCCATTTCAGAATAATATATATGATATGTTTTATAATGATTGATCATGAAAGTGTTCTCAAAGCTGGTAAAGGTGCAGCTAGTTTGAATGACTTTGTATACTGCAGGGTAGCTTGTGAATTTACTCCAGGTGGAACTAAAGTCTGATTTAACACTTGATTATATTTCACATCATTCATCTAGATCTGTAAAGTAACTAAAGGTATTAAATACATGTAGTGGAGTAAAAGTACACCATGTACCTCTGAACTGTAGTGGAGTAGAAGAACAAAGTAGCAAAACATTGAAATACTTACATAAAGTACAAGTATCTCAAAATTGTACCAAAGTATAGTACTTGAGTTTATGAACTTAGTTACTTTACACCAGTGGCTATAAAGATAGAAAGACTAAGCCTTGAACAGAGGCATGCAAATACAAAATTCTAAACTGACTGCTACACAATTAAAATAAATGCTTTTATATATTTCTATTAGATGTGACTCTTTCTGTTATTATTGACACTGCTGCTTTAGTTGTTCTGACTGCTAAAATCCTCCTCATTTTAAAGCCGATATTCCGTGGGGTCGGATCCTTGTCACCTTTTTCATACATGATGAGTTTGCATCCCTGCAATAGCCAATAACCAACCAAGGTAACCCCCCCCCCCCCCCTTGTGTTCTTTTCATCCAAATATCTCTCTCAGAGGGGCGTGGGGAGTGGCTCCTTATTTTCATCTAAAGTAAAAGACAGAGAATCAGCACTTTTGAAACAGGGCTGAAACAGAGGGGTTTATGGCATGCTACAATGGGTGATCTGTTTGGTATTTCGAACCAAACACTTCAGAGTTTTGTATATATCCGAGACCTATAATATATTGATGAAAAATAGTTTAATAGGAGACCTTTTAAGTTATGAGATAATAAAGGAAATATGAGGGGGGGGGGGATGTCAAAAGAACCTGTGTTGCTTGTCATTTCCCACTTTCTTAATAATATATAATAAATACAGTCTTTAAACAAATCATAATTATGATATAAAGGCTTATATTCATTATTTTCAACACATAACATAGACATATTCTGACAGGGATCCCTTAATTCCTTTTTATTTTAAGTAGGTTGTAAGTGAGTAATTTTTCAATAAAGACGGCATCACTAAATACCTTCAAACATGTTTACTATGTTGGTGAACATAGCCACCAGCAACAGAGAACAGCAGAATGTTTGGTGCGTTCTGTATCCTCCGACACTCATGCACATGATGATCATTGGCAGCATAACTGATCCATTATTAAAATAATCATCCAATATTGATTCTTTGCTAGCTAATACCAACATTAGGTCAGAATAGAGCAGCCCAGGATGCTGGCAGTGTGATAGTTGTTGTCTTGCTGTGTCCAATCTGTATTTTTGATTGCATGCATTTTCTTCCACCAGAGAACATTGGGAAACTTCTGTCAGCTTTTGATTCCAGCCTGATGGCTATTTGTTCAAAGTTTCTTCCTGAAGAGAGAAGTGAGGTACTGCTGTGTTTGGATGATGTCAGCCGCAGCAGACGCTGGGGATCAACACTGTGCCTCCTGCTGGAGCTGCTGGAGCTGCTCACCGCATCGAGTGTGATCTATGCAGCTGATGTCTGTCTGCAGAGTCAGAGAATAACTTATACTCACTCCTCAGCCCTCCTGACAATAATCGGCGGCTCTTCGCATTATTTTGTCAAAAAGCGCGCACTGCTGCTACTGAAGAGAGCTGTGCTTCAGAAGTCCGGAGAGGACTGGGCTCTAGGGGAAGGGCTGTACATTGGGCCGAAAAACAAGCACCTCCGCGCTGATATGAGCACGCTGGCCAAGAGTATGTTAACAGCAGTGGCTACTAATTGGTTGCAAAGGGTTCAAGTGGAGTCTAGCTCTTTCTTTGGGGGGACCAGACATGTCAGAGGAAAGGAAGGTCACAAAGCAGACTGTGTGATGCTGAGAGCGCTTGGCCTGCTGCTTCTCAAGTCCTTGGAGCTTTATATCCAAACACCTAGCGGAGCAGGTGAGGATCCATGGAATCTTTTGGCAGCAGGCTGAAAATCAAAACTGAGCTGTAAGATGCTCAACTGTCAATAGTAAAGGGAAACTACATAGTTACTGATGACTCTTGCTGAGTTACTTTGTACAATACTGTCTGAATGACTATAACTAATTTTATAAAAATATAGATTGATAAAGCTTTAATTAATTATGACTGTTTTATAACGCTGCTCAATTTGCTTGGAACAAGCTGCAACATGAACATGGTCCCTCTAAAGTACTGTACTAGTGTTTTTAGTTTGTGTCTAACTGTGCTGCTGCCTATCTCGGCCAGGACTCTTGGAAAAAAATATGTTTAATCTCAAGCAACCTTCCTGGTTAAATACAAAAAAAATCACAATACTTAACTCTCATTATAAGCTGAGTGGTTATGCTGATACTTCCTGTGTCCTCTCACAGCAGGAGTGAACAGTGCCTTCGAGGTGTGTGGGTATCTGCAGAGTGTGTGGGGCTTCCTGAGGCAGGGCAGTTTGCTGAGGACAGAGGTCACACACTGCTGCTGCTGGCTCAGCCTGCTGTTTGGAGAACAGGACGACGACATGATGGAGGCAGCTAAAGCTTTGTTTTCCATTTTCCTCCATCACAGGTACTACAATTATGCAGATGTAGTGTGTTTTATTTTTACCAACATTAAATGAAAATGTCAGTAGGGGAGTGTGATAAAAACACTAACACTTTGACACATAACATTTTGGATCACAACTGAGCAAAGGGGATTTTTTTTCTAAATTCAGCTGAAAATAAAAACCTGCATCTTCAAATTCTTGGAAAATTAAAGTAGATGGAACAGATATTCAAAAAAAAGTAAGGTAGCTTTGACAATAAGCTAACTGAATTGTTGTTTCTCCTGCAGACTGTGTTCTGGACTGGATGACTGTTCTATGTTGAAGGCAGCCTGTGTCTTTGGATGCAACCCTCACTGCCACTTCCTGCTGCTGCTTCAGAGCATCTCCTTCGATCACAGCATACTCCTCGACTTTCTCATCTCCACTGAAACCTGTTTTTTGGAGTACTTTGTGCGGTACCTTAAATACCTTAGAGCTGACTGGCAGGGCTTCACTGCAGCATGTGGAAAAACCAGCTTGTTAGATCGCCATCTTTCTCTGCAGCAGTCACCTACTGCCTTATGTGGGGGTGATGTGTTAAAGGTGACTAACAGAGATCAAGATCCATATCGATCCAACGCCTGTTTTCAGCACACAGGTGCTATTTCATCAGCAGGAATGATCAGTATGGCTGCTGGGTTTCACCTTGTAGAGTATGATAGTTCTGACGAGTCTGATACAGAGGAGATGGAGGTATATCAGGGTGCACCAGTGGCGTCTGTAAGTGAGAAAAGCAGATTCAGTGCTTTGGACATGAAACTACAAAAATTATCGGACTTAACAGGAATACTGATTGAACCTAACACCACACCACACAGAAGAGCAGAAGGGCCTCAAGTGCCGGTGTTCCAGAGTGAACGAACATCGTGTCCAAACATGGCACCTGTGTCAGGACATGTGACTTGTGACACATTAGCCAGGGTGGTCCTTTGCATGTCACAACTCAGAGAGGTGGTGAAGAGGCTGCATACAAAGAAGCTCTTCCCATACAACCCTTCTTCACTCTTAAGGCTCCTAGAACAATTATAAAACTGTTTTATTTTGTGTTTTAAGATTTTATAATAGATTCTTTGTTTTCTGAACTAGCTTGTTATCTAAATGGTCCAGTGTTTCAACCGGTGCATGCTAGGACTGGCAAGAGGTTTTACTTATGTATTTCTGGAGGTATTGTTAAAAATGTTTTACCCTGTTTTAGGTTTTACACACAGGCCCGAAATACACACATACAAACCAGGAACGTATGGTTTTTTGATTATCAGATTGATAATTTTGATAATTTCTTCTTTGTGAAATTTTTCCATGAGAAATGCTCTTTTAGCAGTACTGGCACAACAATCAATACAAGGATGCAAGTGGATGACATGCAGAAACGGATCAAATAAATAATAAATGGACTGTTTTCATTCAAACCCATTAATCCAATTTTATTTATATAGTCCAATGTTACAATTTAGATTTAGGGGGCTTTACAATCTTTATTATCAGGGATGCAAACTTGTCACCTTTTGGCGAAATTCGCCGTTTTGAATCCAAAATAGGTCGTTTGTGTGATTCATGTCGATCTGCAATAAAAATATTTTTGGGGTATGGGGGGGGTCTGGGACCCGGAGTAATCTGCGGCCGCGAGCTGTTATGTGCCATCATGACACGCATGGTGTTCTTTTTTTATATATTATAATGAAGCGCGAGCTGTGTGCTCGAGTCTTCCTGCCTGTCGGCTCTTATTTAGTGGAGGAAAACAATTGTGACATCAGTTATGACATCACTTACGCGACTCTGGGATTTGTAGTCTTTCTAGTTGCGTATTTTTCATAGTCTTATATTTCAACAGTTTTACGACAAACTGACTTTTTTGACATGGAAATTATTTTTTAAGATTGACAAACATGGTTCCGGTTATGGCGTTGGAGTGATCGGTCGCATTGGCGTTTGCTCCCTAATCCTTTTTCGCTTTTAAACATATACACCCAGACGTCTGTTACTTTTCTTACTTGATAAGTCATTAGGAGTGCCTCAGTAACTTTTTCGTTGTTGAAATGAGTAATTCTCAAGGCAGTCGCGGCAAAAGTCAGCAACAAACTAAACTCTTCAGCTCGCAAGATAAAGAGGCTAACAAGATGGCTACCAGTGCTTCGGAAGCTAGCGAGCAGCCGCTAACACTCGCTATGCTAGTCGGAGAGCTTGAGAAACTTCGTCAAGACGTAACAGGTGAACTTACCGCTTCCATGAACACCGCCCTGGCCCCAATCCAAGCCTCTCTTCAAAAGATCACCGACACCGTGGCCACACATACTGCCACCATCACCGGAATGGAAACGGCTCTCAGCGCACATTCAGATGGAATCACTACTCGAGTGAGAGGTGGCCGTATTGAAATCCAAGTTGGAGACCACTGATCAGGTGAATGACAGATTGCAGCTGGCGGTCGAAGACCTGGTTTCACGTTCCAAACGACAGAATCTCCGTGTGATTGGCATTCCAGAAGGAATGGAGGGGGATGATGCTCGTCTCTTCATGACTACACTGTTCAAGAAGATGGTCGGAGACCATCAGCTGGATACCTTGGAGCTAGACCGTGCACATCGCAGTCTGGCTCCGAAATCGCCGCAAGGTTCCCGACCCCTCATTGTCCGCTTCCATAAATATGCCCAGAAGGAACGTGTGCTGCTGTGGGCTAGGAAATCCCGGGATGTCTCGTACCAAGGTCATCCCATCAGGATCTTTGAAGATTTCAGCGCCACACTCGCCAAGAAGCGGGCCGCCTTTAACAAAGTGAAGTCGCAGCTCTACAAGGAGGGAATACGCTTCGGCTTACTCTACCCAGCCCGCCTGCGTGTTACTATTAACGGACAGACTCACATTTTTGACTCCGCGGAAGAGGCAGAGCGTTTCTATCAGGTTCATAGCAGTAAGTGAATGATCAGGACTCTGTCCACATACCCCCTCTGAATCTTGTTTTTCACTTAAGTTATTTTTATTTCTATAACCGAGCTGAAGCTACACGGACATGGACATTAAATTAGACATTACTTGCAGCTCCCTGCTAGGCCAATAGAGGTCACTGCTGTTTCGTTTGTGGGGGTGTGGACTGGGGAATGACTGCAATTCATCTGGTGTTGTATATGTATAATTATACATTTTGAAGGGAAGCCAACTACACCATAGTTAACCGGAGGTGTGCAGAATATTTCCTGCGTGCTCATCTATGTTACAGGATGAGTTTAGGACAAGGTTGTAGGGATTTGTTAGAGATTCAGACATCTGATCTCGTTGGGTTGTGTTTTTTGTGTGTGTTTTTTTCTTTCTCTTTCTTTCTCTTTTTTTTCAATACGGGAGGAACTCTTTTCTTTGGTGCCCATCTTTATAACACGTTTGAAGTTGTTACCTTGCTCTGTGTTGTAGTCTACTGGCTAATTCATAATTTCATCATATTATTCCAAAGGCTGATATTGTGGCTCATGCTCTATGGCTGATATGAGACAGAGAGCTACGCAAGGATCAATTAGGTTTACAAGCTGGAATGTCAGAGGACTTGGCGGGCCTACTAAAAGAGCCAGAGTATTCTCACATCTTAAGGATATGACGACGGACATTGCTTTTCTGCAGGAGACCCACCTGCGTGTCTGTGACCACACCAGACTGCGGAAACCCTGGGTCGGACAAGTGTTCCACTCCAGCTTCAATAGCCGTTCCAGAGGTACAGCAATTTTACTGCACAAACGACTGCAGTTCTCTTTAGAAAAGTGTATTTCTGACACAAATGGGCGTTACATTATAGTCGTGGGTGTATTGCTCCAAACTCCTGTTATTATGGTTTGCGTCTATGCCCCTAATTGGAGTTGTCCTAATTTTATGACGTCCTTATTCTCATTAATCCCATGCCTGGATTCACACCACCTTATTTTGGGGGGAGATCTTAACTTGGTTGTTAATCCTGCCCTTGATTTATCCAAGCCAAAAAACCTAACCCCATCTAGTACGGCTAGAGCTCTTATGAAACTTGTGGACCAAATCGGTTGTGTGGATACGTGGCGATTCAGCCACCCAACAGCAAAAGAGTTTTCATTCTATTCCCATGTTCATCAAACATATTCAAGCATTGATTATTTTTTTTTAGACAAAATACTCCTTCCTTCAGTGAAATTATGTGAATACTCAGCAATAGTCATATCAGACCATGCCCCCCTTTTATTAGACTTGGAATTGCTTCCTAAAAGTGGACAGCGCTCAAATTGGAGATTGAATACAGGGTTATTATCTTCTAATAAATTCTGCGAATTTATTTCTGAGAAAATTAGGCTCTTTATCCTAAATAACAAATCTGACTCGACTTCTCCTTCCCTCCTGTGGGAAACCTGTAAAGTAGTAATTCGCGGTGAAATGATCTCTTACAGTGCCAGGGAACATAAGCAGCGAATACAGAGACAACTTGAGCTGATGGAAGCAATTCTACAAATTGACAGACAGAACCCCTCTTCTCCTAGTCCCGCTCTTCAGACGGAGAGACTCAAGCTCCAAACTGAATTTGATCTTATTTGCACAAACAAAGCAGAGTTTGTTTTAAGGCGCACAAAGAGTACCTATTATGAATATGGGGACAGGGCCAGCCGACTGCTAGCGTTACAACTAAAGCATCAATCTGCCTCAGGTTTTATTACACAAATTCGCAAATCCCCCCATACAATAGTTACAGACCCAAAGGAGATAAATAATGTTTTCGCTTCGTACTATTCTAATCTTTACCAATCAGAGGCTCCACCTGACAACATCTTAATGAAACAATTTTTGGATAATTTGGACTTCCCTATGATCAACGAAACAAGTAAAAGGAATCTAGATGCTCCACTCAGTTTAAAGGAGGTTACAGACAGTCTCAAATTAATACAGAATGGCAAGGCACCGGGCCCGGACGGCTTCCCAGCTGACTTTTTAAAGAAATTCTCTGATCAATTGGCTCCCTTGCTATTGGATATGTTCAACGACTCCTTAGAGCGTGGTTCCCTTCCTCCATCCGTAACTCAAGCATCAATTTCACTCATTCCAAAGAAAAACAAAGATCCAGCAGAATGTAGCAGCTGGAGACCTATTAGTTTGCTCAACTCTGACATAAAGCTATTGGCTAAGACCCTGGCTAGCCGTCTGGACCCCTGTCTACCAAACATTATTTCGGGTGATCAAACTGGCTTCATAAGGGGTAGACAGTTGTCCTCAAATATTCGTCGCCTCCTTAATATTATAATGTCTAAGTCTAGCACACAAGAGGCTGAAATGGTAATCTCTATGGATGCGGAGAAGGCTTTTGACCGAGTGGAGTGGGGTTATTTATTTTCAGCTCTTGACAAGTTTGGTTTTGGTCAAAGATATATTTCATGGATTCAATTGTTGTATAGTGCTCCTACAGCTAGTGTGACTACCAACTCCACTCAATCCAAATTTTTCCCTTTACAACGCGGTTGCCGCCAAGGCTGTCCCCTGTCGCCTTTACTGTTTGCTATTGCAATCGAGCCACTTTCCATCATTCTTAGAAACTCACCAGCTTTTAAAGGTATCTATAGGAATGGGGTTGAACACAGGGTTTCGCTGTACGCGGATGATTTGCTGCTCTATGTCTAATGTATTAATGGGATTCTTGACTTTTACAAACGTTTGGTCCCTTTTCAGGATACAAGTTGAACATCAGTAAGAGCGAATGCTTCCCTCTTAATCTTGCGGCAAAACAGATTCCGGCCCAGAGGCTGCCTTTTCATTTGGCCTCCTCTAGTTTCCGGTACCTGGGCATTAATATTTTGCATAGTCTCCACTCACTTCATAAGCATAACGTTTTGAAGTTGGTGAAGGAGGTTAAATCTGACCTACTGCGCTGGAACTCTCTCCCTCTGTCGCTTGTAGGTAGAATCAACTCAATCAAAATGAATGTGCTTCCCAGATTCTCATTTCTTTTTCAATGTTTACCATTATTCCTCCCCAAATCTTTTTTTAAGGACTTAGACAAGACTATTTCATCTTTTATTTGGGCAGGAAAGACCCCAAGGGTAAAATATTCTGTCCTACAAAGGACTAAAGAAGATGGCGGCCTTGCTCTACCTAACCTTCTGGCATACTATTGGGCGGCCAATATTCAAAAGATTCACACTTGGCACAACTCCCCCATTACAGACTGGTGCCAGATGGAAGCGCGGTCTTGTGGCTCTATCTCTTTATCGGCGTTAATTTGTGCCCCCTTAAAATCATATCCTGCTAAATGCGTATCCAACCCAATTGTACAATCTACTGTAAAGATTTGGAGGCAATTTAGACGCCACTTTAAAATTGTTTCCCTTTCCCTGCTAATGCCCATTTGTAATAATCATATTTTTCTTCCTTCATCTCTTGACCCAGTTTTCTCTTTGTGGAAGGAGA